GCCAAATGATGCTCTTTTTCAAGATGGGTCAAAGGTGAGTGTTGTGAGGATTCCCGAGTGTATACATGTAGCCTCAAAAGAAATGATGAGTGAGTGAGTGGATTTGATATGTGGTTATATATTCTCTTCCCTGATTCATAATAGTGAAATATCTCTCTTCAATGGACGTAACCCTAGAGTTGGGTGAACCATATAAAATATTGTATTGTAGGTGGATGTGTGTGATTGTTATTTCCATATATGCTTGTGTTGATTTGATGTGACAATACTTTTGCTGTGTGTGATGAAGGAGGATTTAATTCTCAACAACAACTGGCTGTTGAGTGGGTTGGAGAGAATTAATTTTTTCCCAATATTGGGATCCGAATCCGATAATCTGTTAACTTAACAAATTGAATATGAATTTGATCGATCAGATTCGTGAGATGCCTAATTCACGTTGTATTTTTTATTTATTTATTTATTTTTTCTTTTTAAAAAATATTATATTATTTTTCGTGTCCATATCCATTTTTCTTAACCAATAATTATCTTTTTTAACATATTATTTATTATACTAAGAGGTACAAGTAATGGTCTTAAGAGAATCCTATCATCAAAAGTGTCATAAATTCTCAATATTTAACAATTAGATTAACCTCTTTGCGATACGTGGAAAGTTAAATAAAGGGAATTTTACAGAAAAATGGAATTAACAAAAGTATATTACCAATTTATGAACGTAGTCTGCATATTTACCATATCATAAACTAAAAATCAAGACCTTTTATTTGAACCTTTTAGTAAGATAAAATTATATTTTCATCCCTAAAGCTTATTTTATGCACAACTTACCCAAAGAACAACTTGTGCAAGCTCTAGAATTTTGTTAAATAGCACTCAGGAACTGTTACATCGCACAAGAATTAGGAAACACAACGCGAAGCCTACAAAAAAGAATAGAAGAACTTAGATCTAGAATTATTCTAATACAGAATATTTTAGAAGCTAGATGGCAAAGATTTTAGCTAGGTTTATGAGTAGAATAGAATTTAATAATTTAGATAACTCTATAAAACGACTAGAAGAAAATCTTGATTATATTAAGGAACAAGTAGCACAAAATTCTAGCCCAAATAATTTAGATAACAAAATAATATTAGTCGTCATTAAAGATATAAATAGCGATATTAAAAGTATTTCTGAAAATCAAAAAAATAATTATCGACTATTTAAAATCTCTTAAAATTGATATTCAAAAGCTATTACAATAGTTTTATGAGTACTAGTAATCCTGATTATCTAATAGTTTTAGCCGAACTTAAGAAAATTGACAAAGACCCAGTAAGATTTACAAGTTTTAAAACCGAGGTTCAGTCAACTAATATAAATATTAGACAAAATAACTTTTTAATCTAATTATTATTCCAATCATTTGAAAAAGTTAATAAACTTGAAGAAAAATTAGAAGTAATACAAGAAAGTATTCATAGAGAATCTTCAAAAATTAGAAGTAATACAAGAAAATATTCTTAGAGAATCTTCTAAAGAATTATCTGAATTATCAGATAAAATAAAAGATTTAAGGGTATCAACTAATCCGTTCTCGCCTACGACCACCAAGCGCGTGAATTTATTATAACCACATAAACAATGGCCATTATCCTTAGAACAACCAAAGAAATAATGAGGGTAGAAGATTTGTATGATAATGAGTATGATGCTAAAAAAATATATAGAATAAGGAATGAAGAAGGTAAAAAATAAAGTCAACCTTTATTCCAATAATTTATTAGGTTTCCTGAGCAAGATATATAATCATCTTAGCCAGAGAAGAATAAGTACAGTTAACAATCAAGTTATTTTAGACCTTATAACACCCGAAGCTTGTTAAGAGTTAAATGATAATAATTTAGAACTTATGCATTTAGGTGTCATAATAATAGGATTAGTAGGATTAAACAGAGCTAAATTAAATCTTTAGTCACTCAGTTAGAACCCTTACAACTCCTACTTGAAAATAGTTATAAAATAATTCAAACAGATGCATCGGCTCAAGGATGGACAGGTTTTCTTCTTCAAAGACCTACAAAAGAATCTTCTCAAGACGTAGAACAAATTTGTCGCCATGCTAGTGGAACTTTTAATAAAGCACAATCTACTTTTCCCTTAACAGATCTAGAAATTTTAGGAGTAACCAACTTTATTGAAAAATTTCAGATATTCCTTGATAACGAATTTCTTATAAAAACAGATTGTGATAACATAGTCAAATTTGCAAACAAAACAAAGTAACAACGGATGTCTGCAAAAAGATGGATTTCCTTTATTGACTGTATTATTGGAAGAGGTTTTAAATCTATATTTGAACATGTCAAAGGAAAAGGAAATTATTTAGCAGATATTATATCTCGTTTACTAATTGACTGTTAAACTTTGCAGGAATGGAAACGAAGAGCAGCAACAACTATAGCCTTATACCAGACACTTCTAATCATCTTTTGATTATCCAAAACTCAGCTCAACAGTTCCGCGTTAGACATAATCTTTTTCCTAATCAAAAACTTATTTTAGATAATATTTGGTTTTCGAGAAATAATCCCAATAGAACCCGCGTTAGAAATTTAAATACTTTAAGTGAATATTTTGTTGTATTTAACAAAGCATATCATACTCTACAGCAAGAACAAGAGACGTTTACGTCTCATTTTAAAAAGTTGAATTTAACTTATAAAAAAATAATAGCAAATCCCACAGAACTAACCATTTCTGAGTAAAGGACTAATGAAGATGAAAATTTTCAGAAAAGTTCAATTTCTGCAGGTACAAACCAAGTATGCCAAGTTATTATCCATTTTCTCTCCAACTTATAGAGAAATCCTAAGACAACAAGTTGAGCTCTTCCCTGATGACATCAAAGAACTTATCCTTGAAGAAGCTAAAGTCTGATGGTTTCAAAGAATGGGTTGATATCCAAAACTACCTCAGAAACAACAGTCCACCCAAAGGAACCTGATATCATTATTATTTCTTACGATTTATACAAACTGGCAACTACATACCTACCATCATCTTGTTAGACGTATACATTGTTTTCTTTTATCCTATTGAAATAACCAGGAAAACCTGTTTCTCTACAAGAACTACCACCTGTTACTTAAGCAAGCTTTTAGAATTAGGAATGGTCAACAACATTTCCATACCAAAAGACATGCCATTAGAATATCTAAACTCCTTAGGTAACTTTTCCAATTGATTAAACTAAGCCATTGCTTTCGAACAAAAACAAACCTATAATTTCATACCAGAAAGTCCAATTCTCCTTCAAATCAATAGTACTCCTCCTTAATGGGTAAAAGATGGAGCTATAATTCTGGGACAACATTAAATTTACATTCATTCTGATCCCACAGAAGTCCAAGTTCTTACACGACATATCGATTTTGTAAATAACTTTTGTAATATAGAACCAGCTACCTTTAACCATTTGGTTTATTATAAAGCCTATCGTCAGGTTAACTCAAGCTACAACCCTGGTTTCAAACTCTACGACTATAATATAAACATGGAAATTTTCATCAAAGTCAGAATTCCCTATGTCATCAGATCTCCCCCAGAAATTGAGATATCTCCAAAAGTTAAAGAAATAATAAATGAAGAAAAGATGTTGGTTGAACAGTTCGAACTCGCCTACAGAAATGAAGAAATCAGTTCACTAGACAGCAATGATGCATATGTGGCCCGCAGAGATGACAGCCCACTAGATAGCAATACCGACAGAAATTAGTCCAATATGCTAGATTTCTAATAATTGCAAAAAACATCCAATAAAAAGCAGATTCGTAACAGTGTACCGATAAAAGTAGATCCACCGAAAGTAGATCTCAACAGTAAAAGTTGATAAGACTCTCCAGAAGTAGACATCAATAATTCAACAATAATTCAAGCCATCTTATCTCTAAAGCATCTTGCATCTCAACCGTCTATGCAGTATCTGCAATCTCAACCGAAGATTCATCTCCCACTTCTCCTATAAAAGGAGCCTCTCTGCTCAAGCGAAGATTATCGAGTTCTAGAGCAATCAAGTTAAGAGCCATCAAGCATTCTAGCCTTCAGCTATAGTTTCCTAGTGTGCTTTCTTTATTTCAGAGTGTTATCTTTCTGTAAAATATTGTGTGAGAGTGTATCTATGTATAAACAGTGTGTATCTATGTATATATTTCTTATGTAATAAATCTTCCAGTTTCTTCTTATTCAAAACTTCCTATTTAGTATTTTAAGTACTTTCGGGCAAAAGACTTCGGTCGACAAAAAGATCAAATATATAGATTTTATTTAGCTAGACAGTGTAGATCCTAGAATTTTCTTGAATCCAACCAGTACAAGCAGCTTTAGTTTTAATTTAACAATTTCTTCTGTGAGTTGACTCGAACTGTTGGCTCGTTGGCCCGTTTTTGCCAGTGTTCAGGCGTTTTTAGAGGGCATTATCAGAGCGTTATTAGGTTCGACAGTCATTTCTGTGATTTAATTGTTAATTTTATCTCTATGTTATCAGAGCCTATACTGTTTCGTTAAATTTACTTTATATATAAGATCTTTTGTCTAAAGAAGTCTATAAGTCCATATTAATCTATTGTGATATTTTAATTTATTGTAAAATTTTTTAAAAATATTAAATAATTTGTTCAAGGATCATTTCATAAAGTTCATTTTATAGAAATAATTTAGTGATCCACCCATTTATTAAAACTTCATGACTTTAATCGCATAAACATATAGTATACACTTATTAAGCCCATGTATTGATAATTTACCCTTAAATAAAATATTTAATGCATCATTTTATCCCCTAAGTACGGAGAGGAGAGTTCATGGCTCTGGATGATCCACCTAATAGCATTACTCATTCAAGAAAGTAACTATGATAGGTGAAAACAAAAATAATAAAAAAAGGAATTAAGGTGGTGTTACTGAGAAGTAGACATTGTGAGTGGTGACGATTGAAAGCGTTGGTATTGGCAATGGACGATCACAAATTAGTTGTTGATGGACTCAAATTGGCTGTCATTCTGAGTCTCATAAGTGGGACTGCCCTTGTTCCGTCCCCTCAAACATTAAATGGTCTGTAGCCACTCTACCCTGCATTATTGCCTCTTCAAATTTATCGTCATGCAACATTTTAACGACGGCTTAAAATTGCGAAATTTATTAGTTATAACTGACCAATGATTATTTTATACAACTTTACCGAACTAGTAGTGTATGTTTGTACATTGAACTTTGAGCTTTCATTTAATTGTAATTTGAATTTTGAGGGTCATAATTTTTCATTTGGGTAGTTTGTTTTTTTTTTTTTTTTTTTTTTTTTTTTTTTAACATAAGGTAACGTATTTGGCGTGCAAGATTGTTTATTCACTTTTTGAAAATTGGTTAGTCACGTCAACACAATGTTGAAAAAAAAAAAAAAAAAAAAATCAAGAAGTGAGACAGGAAAACTGTGTTGAGGGATCCTAAAATTTGTTACAACTTTTAGATTTTCGGATATCTATCCATAGACATTGTGATAGAAAATAATCTCGTTGACATGACACTCTACTCAGTTTTTTTTTTTCTACTTTATATTCATATTAGCTACAAGTGTTTATGTTTTTTTTATGCTTTTTTATTATTAATAAAACTCTAATTATAATTTATAATATCATTGATTGATACGTTAACTTTTGTGAACTTATTTATTTATTTTTTACAAGAAATTTACATCCGTATTCTTAATTACTGAAGTTATAAAGGAGTTTTTCATTAAATTCGAACAACTAGCCACTTGATAATTTCGCATTATATATCACAAACTCTTGAGAAAATAAGTGGTTTTCAGCAATAATTAGTGTTTTCACTTCCAAAAACTTATACAATTCGATAATTCTAAGGTGATGTGAAATATATATATATATATATATATATGTTACAGTATATAACCAGCCACAAGTGCATGGACGAAGCGAGGAGAGAATAAGTGATGGAGGGGGTTTGACTATGGTGATGTGACTTGGGTTGTTTTGTCTTTAAACCTTTAAAGAAAGGGATGTAAAATGGTAACATGTTGGGAGGAAACTCTTGGAAGGGTTTGAATTTTGAGGACAGTTAGTGGTTTCTCCTTCAACATTATGGCAATGTTTGACCTTATTTTGGTGTGGGACCACATTACCAAGCTAAGGCTGCTTGCAGCAAAGCCCATACCCTAGTAATGTTACCACAGCAAGAAAAAAAACATATCAGAACCAATTGGGTTACCAACTTAATTAATCTGAATCAAACTTTGGAATGTAAGTGTCAAGATTGGCTTAAGAACCAAAACCCCATTTAAGGGCAATTGCAAATTAGATTAGTGTTTGGGACCATTTGAGTCAGATGGACCACCCTACACATGCCCATGAAGCTTGAGGTATAGAGTCACATTCGGTAATGATATACCCAAAAAAACAGGCCATCACAAGGGCATTCTCACCGTGAGAGCGCCCTTATGACATATCTTGTCACACAAATATCACTGTTTTTGATTATTTTTAAGTTTCATCTGGATACCGCGTAGAAGCATGGTTTGGTATCACGGTATTGGTTACAGTCATGTTATAACAGTCTCGAACAAATATCAATGTAAATCAACCGAACCAACCGAGGTGTGTAACGGTCTTGAACAAATATCGATGTAAACTGGCCGAACCAATCAAGATATGTAACAATATCGAACACTTGAAAAATGATTACGAACTGGACAATATGTCACGTAATATCGGTTGATACGATGCATAATATCGGCCGATATAACAAACTATAGTAAAAATAAAATAAATTAAAAGAAGTAATGGTAACAATTTTTGATCTTTTTTGAAAAAGATGGTAGATTATTTTGCTAGTATTGTAAGGGGGAGCAAAACAGGTAATAAATTACCAACTTGGTGTCAACTTTTCCTCCATTTCCTTCCACTTTTGGAAGAATAAAGAAACTATTGGTCAAAAAGTTAGTGAACCCTCCTCCTTCCACTTTCCCTCCACTTGCATATCTTTCCCTATCTTTTTTATTTTGTTTCCGTCTATCAAACCAGCCTTTAGGGTGATTGGTGTCTCTTCTGGGCATGTGGGGATGACAGATTTTTTCACATGAATGATTTACTTGTACTATGTTTACAAAGTCCTTAAATGATGGAGTTCAGTACAAATATCAATCGGCAACTTGGGTATACTCTTATTTTCTTCTGTGCGTGTCAGCAATGTCCTTTGCAACTCCTATTCCATTCACTCACTAAATTTAGGGTTTTGTATTTCCTAAAAATTTAGGATAATTGGCATCTTTTTTAACAAATTTTGACATATTTGGTAAATGTGAGTGGTAGAAATATGCAATTAAAACCTTTACTTCGAGATTTTCTTTTAATGCATTTGCCCTTGGATTCCTTTTTTTTTTTTGTCGGATTCTAGCTCTCGAAACAACTAGTTATCTCTTCAATAAAGTAACACGATATAACCAGATGATTGATGATTTACTTTCGGCTCATTCAGAATTACATATATGCTATATTTGAAAGTAATCGATGCAGTAAAATATCATATTCCATTCACTCTCTAACCAAAAAATTTAGAGTTTTACATCTCCTAAACAATTCGGATAATTTGCATGTTTCTTCACCAACTATGACATATTTGGTAAATGTAAGGGATACAATCTGCAATTAAAGCCATTAGTTCAATGGTTTACCATTTGCTCATTCAAAATTACACTTATGTTACGTTTGAAAGTACCGAATTAACGCCTTACACTTATTTCATTCAATCACCTAAACAATTTGGATAAAATTGGTAAATATGAGATGAAATATGCAATTAAATCCATCAATTCAAGATTTTCCTTTTACGTGTGGCCTCTTGGATTCCAATTTCCTTGTCAGATTCCTGTTGTCCAAACAACCAATCATCTTCTCAGTAAAATGACACGACACAACCAAATGATTGATGATTTACCATTTGCTCATTAAAAATTACATACATGCTATATTCGAAGTACCGAATTGACCCCAACAAGTGAAAATGTGATTTGACACAACTCAGCCAACAACTACGGAATACTTATTTAACTCAAATGCTGTGAAAATGAAACATGAACTCAAAAGGAGGTGGATTTGGAAAAGGGGGTTCAACATTTTGTTGAGATGAGGACATCAACATTGTACTATGATACCATTGATACGGTGCAAGGGGTTGGCATTGAGCTGGCTGTTGCACAAATGTGGATGAAACCGTCACCTCTACTCTAATCCCTAATGTTACCGCTATAAAAGTTGCCAATGCCAATGTCCAATGATTCATCTCTCTCTCTCCTCTCTCTCTCCTCAACACCAAAGACAACTGGCAATTTTGATTCATTCACAAAACAGATAAAATAAAGAGGCCAAGGGATAGAGCACAGGACAAAAAGGTCTAAATTTGAGGGTGATTCATTTGGGTTTTTTTATTTTTATTTTTTTTGATACCTCTCTCCACTCTCTCTTCTCTTCTCTGTTTATATAGAGAAACAAGAAGAAGAGACCAGTCTATATCAATCCCATCTTTTTCCAGCTCTCCCTCTCTCTCTTGGTTGCCATTAATATTAGAGAGAACCCATTTGGAGTTCACTTGCTAAGACAAGCGAAGAACATGAATATATCAACTTCTGAATGTAGTAGTGGGTGTGAGTCTGGCTGGACTATGTACTTAGATCAATCCTCGAATTCTGAAGATCATCAATTTCACAAAAGCAGAGACCATAGAAGATGCAAAGCAGAGGAGGAGGAAGATAATGAGGATGATAAAGATGAGGACTTGTCCATGGTTTCTGATGCATCCTCTGGGCCTCCACATTTCCATGAAGTTGATCAAGATTGTTATGCCTCTGAAAAAGCAAACAAGAGAGACAAGAAGAAGAAGAGCAAAGAAGTACATAAAGGCCACCAACACCATTCATATCTTGATGACACTGCTAGCTCCCCTGTTCTCATGACCTATTCCAAGGCAAGTCCACACACACAAACACACACACACACACACACACGCACACATTCTTTAGCTTTTGCTTAATGGGTTTTCTTCCTTTGTGTATTCTACAGAAGAATTTAGGTGTTTCTTCCAATGAATCTTCAATGGAGCATGTATTGGGATTTTCACAGGGCTTCTCTACAACACATCTTAAGGTGCTAATCTTCCACCTATTTTTTTTTTTCCCCCCAAATTCTCCTCGATTTTTCTTATAGCTTACTTCAGATTTGGTTTATTAATTCACACTGTATATTCTAGGATTAATTTGACTCGAAAAGTCGTTGCAGGGAAAATCTACATTTCGGAAGCACTTTGGTTCCTTCAAGTCGTCTGTGGCTGGAAAACCAGATTCAGGAGCAGCTGGTGAGCATCCATATATGTACATTTTTGCTATGATATAATTCAATAATGATTTTAAAGCTAGAAAGTTTAACGGAAGAATTCCATATCGGTCAGATACACTCAATTAGGAGTAACGTGGAATACAGTTGAGTGTATCCACCGAATAAGAAGTCTTTTCAAACTCTTCTGATTAATAGCATTACTCATACAATTTCATGGATCAATTCTTGAATTCTTGCCCTAAATTGATTCCTCTCTCACTCACTATCTTGTGTGTGTCTATTTTGACAGGTGGTGTATAGAGGGAAGAAAGTAGGAATGGAGGAATAGTAATAGTTTTTTTTTTTCTTCTACTGTGCTGCTGTTGTTTCAATTGCATGAGGGAGAGATGGGACATGTTAAACACAAAGGCGTTAGAAACCTTGTTCTTTTTCTTTTTCTTGAATTTTTCTTCTGATGTGTTCCTGTCAATGCAGTAGGGAACAACCTGAGAACATAAATGTTAAAATAAAAATTTGATGATTTTATTTTGTATAGTTTATTCTTTTTCCTTTTTTTTTTTTTTTTTTTTTTTTTTTTTTTTTTTTTTTTTTTTCTCTCTCTGTCATGGATGGTGGTCACCATGGACATACCCTGCTCTAAATAGTGCCCCATACTCTTCATTCAATTCATTGCTGCACAATCCAATTCATCAAATTACTAGACATAACAGTCAAAAACCACAAATACAGAAAAAAAAAGAATACAAGTGACAAGTCATTCCAAAGTTGTTACACTAGTGAACCTACATAGGCCATAAATCACAATAGTGCACTCTAATCATTCAAAGGATAAAAAAAGAAAAAGAAAAACGAAGAAGGATTGAACACTTTTGTAGGCAATAATAGGAACTTCTAAAGAAGTGTGGTTTTCTGATCAAGAGCAGTGGCACTGCATTTCCAATGACCTAGCTGGCTGGAAACTAAATGAAGTGGAGGTGGGTAAATATGGTAATTTTTAAAATTTTTGTAATGGAAAACGTGATCTTTGGTGCACAAGGTTGCAAAGTAAGTTTCAAATACTTGCAATCAATTACAAAATACTCTAATCATTTAAATTTAGATATTTTTGTTACGTGTGACACTTCGATGTGAAACTTTTTATTTATGAAGATTCTTGATACACGTAGGTCTCATTAATTTTGACTAAAGGGGGTTGTCCAAAGGAGCACCCCACCACCCTAGGACGTTTGCCCACCAAGAATGTGATCCATATATAATGCTAAAGCAATTATTGAGTTTGTTTAGGTGGGGTTCTTTGAAAATCTTTATTACATGGCCTCCCATCTTTAGGGTTAAAACTCATATCTCAGAAAATGACATAGTTTTAAAGGAAAAGCCAAGGCCTCCCTATTACCTGTACCAATAAAATCTTCCTTAGTGGTACTCTCAACTTGTTAGGAGAAAATCATAGATTAAAAGGCAGTCCTAGCATACTGATGTAGTGGGTAGTTTCAGGCTTGATAGTCAGATCAGATAATAGAACACAAGTAATTTTCACTCTAAAAAGGACCTTTATATCTTTTCATTCACCGACTAATCATGTATGTTCTTGTGTGTGCGCTTATTTTTGTACATGTCCTGCTAATTACAAAAAATTATTGGATATTTTGAAAATACTATAAAGTAATATCATAAATTCAATAGTGAGTATTTATTTTCTATGAACAAAAAGGAATGTTAGTGAAAGTCGCTTGACACTTGCTTTTAGTGATTAGTTGTAGTCACCAAGGCGACTGTCGCTCGTCTTCAGTAATTAATTGAAATCAATCACCTTATATTCTAACATAGAAAATCACTCTTGAAAGGCGAGTTTCGAGCAACAGTATTACCGCTAGCACTGAGATTAACAAAAAGGAATAAGTACTTATTTTCTATTAACGGAGAAGAGTGCTAGCGATAGTTGCTCGACACTCACCTTTAGTGATTGGTTGCAGTAGCTAAGGCGATTGTCGCTCCTTTAGTGCTTGGTTGCAGTAGTTAAGGCGACTATAGCTCGACACTCGCCTTCAGTAATTGGTTGCAGTAGTTAAGACGACTGTCGCTTGACACTCGTCTTCAGTGATTGTTTACAATAGCTAAGGCGACTATCACTTAACACTTATCCTTTTAGTGATCTATTACAGTAGCTAGAACGACTATCACTGGACACTCACTTTTAGTTATTGATTGAAATCAATCATTTTACATTCTAACGTAACCACCCTCTAGTAAACTATGCTAGCACTCGGGATTAACAAATGAGACTGTAGAAGCCACATTATTGGGTACCCTTGTTTCTAAAGCCATGTGCCTCATTTAATACAGAAAGAAATTAATTATTCTTGAGGCATATGACTATCATATGTAATTTTTAGCCTTCTTTATTACAAGTCAAATGCTTGTCCCAACATGTAGAAAGAAACACTTGCCCATGTTAGGTTGAAAATGAAAAAAAAAAAATAAAAAGAAGAGGAAAGAGTTCGAGTCATGCATTAACTTGTGTCTTTTCATTTCTTTTTGGATCAATAATTGAACATATCTACACACGCGTGCGCGCAGAAAGAGATAGAAAGAGAGAGGAAGTCAAATTTAACACATGAAATTATTGAAAGATAAACATCAAAAGCTTACAAGAGTTTAACAATTTTTTCAATCCCAATGAACACTAAACTAAAATATACACAACCATGAATAAGATTCTAAAACATGCACTATAACAATAATGCAAATTAATAACGATGGATAAGGATTGAAGCTTTGGGACACATTTTCAAACAATAAATTAGGGCAACGCAATTCCACTAGTGGAGCCCTTGGCTTAGGTTAGGTTGAAGAGGGCTAAATATATATATATATATATATATATATTTATGTGTGTGTGTGTGTGATAGGGAATCTTCCAACTGTGTTACATACCATTTGGTAGCACATACCATCAAATGGTACAAAGGTCATTAAAGACAATAGAATAATCTCTCCCAAGTGATATTAAAGCTTGAAATGGACTTGTCATAATATATAATCCTCAAAACAATATAAATAATGAGTCCCATACACATCAAGAGAATAGACTGAGCAGTTCATGGTCTAATCAAATGCTTCCTCTAGGCTCTAACAACCATTGAAGACTTGATTTTGTCACAATTCAAATCTTATGGTACATATCTTGATTCGAAGCCAACAAAGCTTGAGGATTGTACTTATCTCCTAGCAATGGTTTCCAATGCTTTGAGCATCAAAATCAGATGGAAACATAGCCTGTAAGATATTTTTTTATATTTGTCACCCATATGATTTGGATATGTAATTTATTTTTATTATTTAGTGGTTAAATAAAATATATATGAGATTAATATTATATTATTTGGTCAACTTATAGTTACCTTTATAAAAATACATATTCCTATCAGTTATGTACACTAATAAAAACAACATGTATAAACTTTTATGTGTGCAAAGATCAAGAAAGAGAAATCAATTTCCACGCTCTGCCTATTATTTGGAGTTGTAGCTTAATTCGTTGTGAAAGGATCTCGATGTTTACCTCTATATCTATGATATTTGCAATTACAGATCGAAATATTTATATCTAACTATTCATGTTTATTTGTGATTAATGATTTGCACGAATAATTAAAGTTTACATGTGGTATCAGAGGTTACGGTTTATAAACTCATTATTTTTCATTAATGTTGCATAAGTTTTCGGCGCCTATATATACATATACAGTAACATTCTCATGGAACTGTTTGTGTGGATATGTTTTGATTAGTTTTTTTGTGGGTATGTTTGGATCAAGTTTTGTGCATTGATTTTGGTTTCTATACATGGTTTTTCGAACGTTGGAATTGCATGAAAGTCAATTACTTAATGATGCATGTATGCACGTGTATAATAAAACAAAGAAGTTTCATTTTCGTGCGTGATTTTGAAAAGGAATATGTATGTTATTATATACTAATTTTAATATCATTAGGGATGAATTTTATGGACACCAAACATGTTAGTTTTGGTTTGGGTATCACGATTATCGAATTTTATTGAATTACGTAAAAATTAAACTTGAAACAATGTATATAATTTGGTTTAAATATTTTTCATATATTGAAGATACACAAGTACTTTTTTGGACACCCAATGAGTTATGTGGTCATTGGTTGTATGTGATTATAAATGAGTATTCTAATTTTATTTTTGAAGATATAAATTATTGAATACATAAAGTTTGCGTATTTATTTATTTAATTAAATAAATTTAAATTTCTGGAATGATACGTGAGTTTAGAAATTTAATTTAATTTTGTTAGATATAATAAATAATTATTTTGTACCCATACATACATATATTATAGAGAATCAATTTTAAATTGATTCAGTTATGGCATCCGAGTCTGAAAATAAAAATAACATATTTTATTATGCATATAAAATAAAAAATGATATTTTCTTTAAAATTTCGAACTATTAAATTTTTGGAACTGAAGTTGTTTAAACTTGGATCGATCAACTTGGATCGATCAGTATAAGTATCTATGTATAATGTTTAATGGGTAAATTAATGATAAATTAGTAACTAACTAATTTAATATTTATGTTATGTTAGGGCCGATTAGTAGCTACCAAAGTGCCCTAACTATAATAATTGATGAATATTAATTTTAGTAGTAAATATAATTAATGATAAATTAGTCACTACCTAATTTAATATTCATATTATGTAAAGGTTGGTAGCTGCTAAAGTGGCCTAACAATAATATTTGATGAATATTAATTGTAGTAATAGACATAATTGCAATATTTCATGAATAATTGATGCTTATGATTTTTTGTGATATTCATGAATATTGAGTTTATTTAATTATAAGAAATAATTTTCCAAAGGGAATTGATTTTCAAGTGATTAAATAAAAGTTAAGGGGTTGTATGTAATTTTTAATTAGGTAGATATAGGATATTCAAAGATAACTTATTTGTTTAATTAAATAATGCATCACCAATGAAGGTATACATATAAATACATGTAAGCATCATTATTGGTATTTTATAGTTACCACCCAAAGGGGTACTATAGTTATACATTATATTTATATTTTTAAATTATACATACGTGTTGTTAACTCAAAGCATTATTATTGTGAGTATTTTATCTTATTATATTTTTTTTATTACATCCCTTAATTTGAATGCTACATCAATTCTGATTCTCAATATGACTAACTTTCCATAATAGAATGAGTAAGTTAAGTATTATGGTTATGCGAATAATTATTCCCCATAGTGATAGTGCTAAGGAATATTTGACTATAAGAACGTTTTTGTATTGTAGATAAATATCTAAAAACAAAAATATTGATTGATATCACTACTATATATTTTTTTGTTGGTACTAGAACCATGTATGAAAATAATTTTGAGATGACTAATGTTGCTACAAAATTGAGGACCTTAGGGATGATTGTAGATGAGAATTTTTTCGTTCAATTTATTCTCAATTTCTTGTTTACTCAGTATGT